GAGTAATTGTGCTTTTTCTTGAGTAAAGATTTTGAGTACTCTACCTGCCACTGGCCAGCAGCACCACTACTAGTGCTGTCATGGTGATTATGAGACTTGACAGCAGAGATGAGGTCAATAGCAGAACAGAGTCAAAGCCAGCAGTTTATGGTAAGATTGATGATATGACTTATTTAGTTATCTACTCTAAGGGCTCAGCTGAAGTGATTACTTTAAGGGTGTTACAGGGATGTTTCTAGTTTTGAAAATGTATTTTAAAGGTTAATTTAGTTATGTACTCAACTTGCATAAAATTCTCAAGAAGGCAGGAATAAAGGTCTCTAAAGACCCAGATAAATGCTTTGTCTGGAGAGCGGGCTGACCAGGGACAAACTCCTGGGCCACTTTTTTGCCTCCATCTGTGACCATCCTTGATCTTAAAAACTTGTGCCAGGAGGTGTGCATGTGTCTCTGCTACGTGTCCATAAACAATTAAAAAGTAGTGAATTGTCACACAGACGAGCATCCTGCAGTATTTTAAGAGGAAGAGGACAGAGGTCACAGGAGCAGGAATAGAACAAACTGAGGAGGATGAGCTCGTAAGTTGTATGGATAGCTAGTAGACATAATATATTCTAAAACTCACATGGTAAAAAGACTTTGTTAGGCCAGCGGCATGTCATCAGAGTTTGCATTGAAGACAGCTCTGTGTTCACAAACATATGTTGCAGGGAGAATCAGGGCCAAGTGAGACACAGGAAATATCACAGACAGCTCACAAGTGTAAAGTTAGGATAACTAAATACATTTGTACAGTGGCTAGCTACATTAACTAGCAGCTGTTCCAACATCTCAATGCGTCATAACTGACGCTTTCAGACAGCATATTTAACTGGACAGAATGAGGAGACATAGTTGTTTACAGACACACAAAACTTCCTATTTGACAGGTAGGATGAAAACCATTCTAGGGCAGTACCAGAGATCCCCACCCAGTGCCTCAGTCTGTCTAACATGATGTTGTGATCAATGGTGTCAAAAGCAGCGCTAAGGTCCAGGAGTACCAGGACTGAGCACATGCCTTCATCAGCAGACATGAAAAGGTCATTGGTGACTTTAAGCAGGGCAGTCTCAGTGCTGTGGTACTTTCTGAAACCAGATTGAAATTTTTCAAATAATTTGTTATTTTCCAGTACAGTGAGCAGCTGTTTGGACACAATTCTTTCTAGAATCTTTGCAATAAAAGGCAGTTTTGAAATTGGTCTCAAATTATGTGGGAGGGAGGGATCTAAACCAGGTGTCTTTAAAAGTGGGTTCACGCAAGCCGTTTTAAAATAATCAGGGACACAACCAGTAGATAGGGAGCTGTTGAAAACAGAGATCAAATGGGGCCCAACAGAATCCATTACTTTCAGTAAAAATTTTGTAGGTATTACATCAAGTGGGCTGGAGGACACTCTCATTTGTGATACGGTTTTTAAAAGCTCAGAAAAGTCGATGGGATAAAACTGGTTAAAACTCTCTTGTTGCTGGTGAGGAACCTCTGAGTAAGAGGCCGCGGGGGTAATAGAGGCTCTGATTGACACCACCTTATTGGTAAAATAAGATAAAAACAATTCAGTCATCATTACTTCCAATGATGCACAAGGAGGGGTTGGGTTTACCAGCTGAATGAATATGTTATTCATTAGGGTCCCAGATGTTTTTTTCTTTATTTAAAGTATTTTGAAAAATACAAATCCTGACTGTCCTCAGCCAAATTTGAGCTACATCTTTCATAGTTTTGTTATGATAAAAACTGTTATAAAAAAACACCATTAATTAAAAATAAGTTATTATTAACATTAATTGATTAAAAACATGAAATTATACATCCATTTTATAAATAAATAGTATTTTATGACTGTCCCCATGTTTTTGTCCTGTCACGGTTACATAAAACAGTATATAAAAAGTATGCAATACGCCTTTAAGGTTATGACTCAGTGGAATTGACCTAATTTGATCTAGGTGATGCTAAAAAAAAGGGTGAGTGATTTTGAATGTTTTTTGAGGAGGAGGACAGGCTAAAGGGTCAGGCCCTGTCACGTTAATATTCTCAGAAAAGAATAACATTTTTGTAAATCCAATACATGTCGACAAAGGTTACTGAAATTCCTTTCTTGCATGCTAACAGTTTTGCTGTTAGCATATTAACAGGCTGAGCAATGGCAGTTAAAATGGCTGACAGTCAGGCCCTGTCACACTGTGTCACACTGTGACAGGGCCTGACTGCCTTGTGACACAGCCTTTCAAATTAATGGCATTGTTCCTTTTTATTACCTTTCTAATAAATAATATGTATTTAACGCATTCCATATCAAAACATTATTTGAATAAATAGACATTACACTTTAAATTTGAAGCTTTTTTCATGCTCATAGACAAACGTTTTGAATCTGATAGCTTTTCAAAGACAACTTTGACCCACATATACTTTACTTTACTTCAGCATAGCTGTTATAATGCTTTTGATCATATGATCTTCATCAGCAGATTGATTTTGCCAGTTGCCAAAGAATTAAGGATGTTCAAATGTTCTCATTTTAAATCTAAATGTTAATTTTCAACCCAAATGTATAATAATAATAATATCTTAGCTGGTAAAGCCTACAGTATTTGCTGATGAAGATCATGTGAAATGACTGAAAGCACAGTGGATCTTGTGGTAAACTGTTTTATTAACAAGAAAGCTTTTTTTTTTTAACCGAATAACTACTCAATCTATTGAAATGAAAATATGTTTGGTCTTAGTTGTCAGCCATTTTTTTATGCATTTGATCATTATTATATGTCACTGGCTGAACATAACTGTGTTAGTCTAATGTTACATTAACATTATAATCATAATAAGAAATTAAAATAGGAATGTTTACCAATAAAGAACACAAACATGTCAGTCCTGTCACAACACCATCAGCCCTGTCACGCCACAGTCAGTACTGTCACATTAAATATTATGATAAAAAATTTTCATATTTAAGATAATATTGATTAATTAATTTTTTTTAACTGTGTAGATGAAGGTGGCGGTATATACCCACCGTTATGTGTTTGTAAAATATCCTATGTTAAAGTAGTTTTTTACAACTATATAAGTGCCTGGCGGTTATTCTGGACTTTCCATTCACTACTTACACCAAAACATTGCTTATATTTCTTATAGAAATTATAATACCATGTTAGATACAATCAGGGACTTGTAATCAATAAGAAACACTATTTGTGCCAAACTAAAAAAACATACAAATTGGTCTGTGACAAGGCCTGACAATTTAGGTGTGAAACGCTTTTAAAAATGTATTTTATTCAAAAATACAAACATGCTGGGATGGCACAATATGCATTTCCCATAGTTTAAAGTGTCTTCCATATGACTCAATGTTCAGATTAAAGAATAAGATCTATTTTTCTCCAAGACATTTAGAAGTGGAATTGTACGTTTCTGGTCCAGGAGTTTCTAACTGAATTAAAGTGAATTAATTAATCATTGAGGTGAAAAGGTGCTACATGCACATTTGAAGACTTTAGGCTACTTCAGTCGTGCCTACAAGCATGCAGACTCAGCAGGGATGCAATTAAATGAGAAAAGTTGATATACAGGAGAAACATATCTGACAGCAATACAGAATGCCTGAGAGCCTGTATTACACTATATTTTTTATATTTTGAATTATCACCTGTCCCCTGAATTTTGTGTTTCCTTTTATTTAAATAAAGACATTTCCTCAATAAGTTGGTGCAGAAAAATTCACCAGAATGCAGGAAATTAAGTGTTTAAAGCCCAAATTTAAATTAAATGTATTTAATTTGTTTTGACTGTTGTTGTATTTACTTCTGTTTGATTTGATTTATTTGATCCCACATTTATTATATAATTTAATTTAATTCAGCTAACAGCTTAATTTGCAATTGCATCCATATTTCGTTATATGCAGGGACAGTTTAAATTTAAAATGTACTGGTATAATGTGTTTTTCTAGGCTGCAGCGTTCATAATTTAGTAGTATTGAAATTTGTGAATGTGCTGCACTCCTTCCACCACCAAGTGCTGCCTTTAAGTAAGTTGGCCGGCTGACTATAGAGAACTGACATATATACTACTTTGTTTTTGTGCAAGTTAAACTACGTCCCAGTGTCTTCTCAATTCTCTGACTGCAACATTTTACACAATTAGAAAATGAAATTCATATTTTATAGCTTTATAATAATCATGCCTTTAATGTCTATGCTTACTTTCTTTGATTTAGAGACACCTTAGCACTTTTGCATTGTTATTTATATTCAGATAAATGTCTGTTTTATTAAAATATAATACAATTCATCACATCTTTGAAAAAGTAGAATAGATATAGCAGGTTACAGAAATTAGACTTAATGCAATCTGACTCCACTGTGGCATGACGTCCACATATGTGGACAGTTGGTTTTTGGTATATAAAAACTACATTTTAATTTATAAAACATAAACATGTTAATAACACTTTACGTACTACTTTTTTTTTTTTTACCTTGATTGACCCCCTTGAATAAAAGTCTTTCACAGATATGCCTGAGGCATTTAGCACATGGCAATCCGAATTGGCTATCTTGAACTGATGAGGTCAATAAGCAATAAATATTTGGAAAACAAGAGAGTAACCACTGTTACAGTGTTGGTTGATTGGGGGAACATAACCATGATATATTAACCCAAAATGGAGTTGAAACAAGTGTCCACAAATGTGCATGAGAGGGTATATCCTGATGTATGCTCTTAAGCTGATGATACACGGAGCAACGTTTAGAGCAATGGTGCTGGGCAATGTTGCTGTCAATGGGAATAGGTAAGATTACTACCGTAATCCCCTTCTCTCGCCACTCCGCCACCCTCCCCGCACCGCCTCTGTCCGTTCAACACACAGTCGGACTTGCCCAGCAACATTGCTCAAAAAATTGCCCCGTGTATCATCAGCTTAAATGTCACTCATTCTTCTACACAGGAAGCACCAGAACAAATGATGAGGATCTGAGGATAGTGATGGTGGGGAAGACTGGTAATGGGAAGAGTGCCACTGGAAACACCATTCTGGGACGACAGTGCTTTGAATCAAAGTTCAGTGCAAAGTCCATGACTGTTGACTGTGCAAAGGGCAAAGCTGAGGTGGATGGGCAACAGGTTGCTGTCATTGACACCCCGGGCCTGTTTGACACCAGGTTTGGCATAAATAAAACAACTAAAGATATGAGGCAGTGCATCTCTTTTGCTCTTCCTGGACCCCACGTGTTCCTGGTGGTCATCAGGTTGGGCAGATACACTGAAGAGGAGAAACAGACGGTGCAAAGGATTCAAGAAATCTTTGGCTGGCCTGCAGACAGATACAGCATGGTTCTCTTTACCGGTGGTGACCTTTTAGAAAACACTATTGAGGAGTTCTTGGATGAAAGCTCAGACCTTCAAGAACTCGTGGGCAGATGTAAGGGCCAGTACCATGTCTTCAACAACAAGGAGAAGAAGAATCGCTCTCAGGTCACTGAGCTGCTCCAGAAGATCAGAAATATAGTCCAGAGGAACGGAGGAAGCCACTACACCAACGAGATGTTCCAAGAGGCCGAGAGGGCACTTGAAGAGGAGAAACAACGCATCCTGAAAGAGAAGGAAGAGCAAATACAGAAAGAAAAACAAAAACTTGAAAGGAAACTTCAGGAAGAATATGAAAAAGAAATTAAGGAAATGTATGAGCAACTCCAGGCTGAGAGAGAGAGGGAGATGAAAGAGAGAGAGGAGGAAAGAAGGAGGGTAATTGAGAGGATGGAGAGGGAGAAGAGGAGGATGAGGGAGGAAAGAGAAGCAGAAAGGAAAAGAGAGGAAGAGGAAAGAGAGAGGGAGATGGCAAATATAAAAAAACGTTTAGAGGAACAGCGTGAAAGAGAACTGGAGGAGGAAAGAGAAAGGTTGAGACGGGAAGCTCAGCGGCAAGCTGAGACGGACGATAATTGTACCATTCTCTGATTTGATTTTCCTTTTATTCTTTTTATTTGTGTACTACCACAAAGACTTTTTTGGTTTTGAAGTACTCTATCTGCAGAGCAGTGTACTACATGAACTCAATTTTGGACGTTACTGTATGAATAAGCATGAATAAGATAATGAATTGATTGCTGGGTTATGTGACAAACTATGTCTTGATAAATAAATGTAGAATAATTGGTTGTCATGGTGATTATGGTGGGACTTTATTCAGAGCCAAAGCATCTCTTGTTCTCTTGCTAGATATATTGATTCACAATGTTTAAAGACTGTATGTTGTTTTTTGAATATATTCACATGTATTTCAATTAACATATTAAATCACTATTACTACCTTTATTATTCAAACTGCATAAAAGATGTTGAGTACCCTGAAAACCTTTAACCAAATGTATCTAAATCTGGACTCATTTTATCCATCCTGTTTCACTTTCATATCATAGGAGAGGCAGAATGGTGAGCTTAAAAGAACTGCTGCCATTTCTTGTAAATGGTGAGGGAGGGGGAGCAAAGTTTACAGCTTACAGTGTACAAAAGGATTTCCGGGAAACTAAGCAGGCATGCATAAAGAAGTCGGATAAACATATCATAAGCATGACACTGGATACGCTCTATGATACCAGGCCAACTATTATGAAAGTAGTTGTAGTTGAACATGTTGTACAAGTTGTACATGAACTCATTAGATTTTGGACATCAATGTATGAATTAACATGAATGAGATCCATTAAAAAGTGGAGTAAACGTTTCTGGAGAAATCCAACATCATGACAAATACCATGATACTTATCGAACAACAACACAGCCAAACTCACAACCCTCCTGCTACCATAGCTAACATCACATCAACAGCATATCTTGGCAAACTAGAAAGTAAGCTGAATGTCCTGTGTTACCGGACACAAAGATCATTGCGGGAATAGTGTTGGGTTTGTTTGTTTCCCATTTACAGGGCCAGGGCTGTTTACAAACACAAAAGTTATTTTCCGTGTACACCCAGAACAGACGGGAAGAGGGCCCTGATGAGATTTTTGTAAATAATATATTACCAGCAAAATCAACTTGTTTTACAAGATAGTCAGTATATTAGTATTTGATGTTCTCAGTCTCCAACAGAGCTTAACTATGTCACTCGTGCTTCGGCAAGAAAAAACAATACTGGGACAGAAATTTGCAGATGAACATTTATTATCCAGGAATTCACATCAACTAAACTGAAAGAGGATCCTGGACTATGAAAACAAGAACTGAAGTTATATTTGATTTGATTTGAAAATCTTAACTGTGTAAATTAACATATTGGCTGTATTTGATTTAATGTTGAACAGGGTGTCTTTGTTTATTTGTAAAATATGATTTAACATGATTATTGTCATTTTATTCTATCATATCATCATTAACACTCTTAAAATTTGTGGCTTGTAAAAAGCGTTTGCTTGAGCCAATTGAAGGCCCGGTACACATGCACATGTGTGCACGGGATCAGGATGGTACCACCTCTGCCTCATTTAGAGCCGGAAAACCCCTGATATTCCTATTGATCTTTTTTAAATAGCCTACTCATACCAAAATATCTTCATGAAGCATCAGTATTACTTTCACTTTATAATCGGTGCAGCTACTGATGGGTGTGGTTTGGGCCTTTTTAAAAGGATCTGCAGCAGATCTCGGTGTTTTCACTTCAGCTGCAGTACTTTGTACTCAAACATGAACAGCAAGTATTACAACCCAAACATGATCAGCAATTTAGGTAAGTTACTACACTCTATCCATATTTTATAGTGCAATTACTTTATGGTGATATAACAGTGATCATGGCTAAATCTAATTTTATGTAACACTAATGTACTGCTGTAGCTCCTATAGACAATTATGATAATCTGACTACAGATTCTGGAGTACTTTTATACATTTATAAGATTGTTTCCAACTAAACATAATGACTTCTTGGCATTTCTTGTGCATTTTTGAGATGAATGCCCTTTTTGAAAGAAGGTTCAGAAGACGTGCTTTTAATGTTATCAGTTTTTCTCTGGTATATTGGGTGACATCACAGAAACTAACGGTTATATTATCATCCTTTCCTAAGGAAAAGGTTTATTTTCAAAATCTAAGAAATCTTTAAACAAATGTCAGTCTGGATGAGAAGCCCCTCACTGCAGTGTACCGGCAGCGGGTCCTTCCGGTTTGTCTGCTGGTACGCTGCCCTCTCCATATGAGGTTCTCTGGACACTATGTGACACTCACCTGCTCCCGTTCTCGCCTGCCTGCTAAACTCTGTCGGCAGAGAGAGAGGGAGAACAGAAGCTGGGGTGCCTTTCAAGCAGCCGTTTGCTGAATTTAGCTCATCAATATCACTTTTCGTGAATGGCTCCATCACTTTTTGAAAGCTTTTGTTAAAAATGTTCTGAAAAACAGTTTGCAACAAGAAATTTTAAGTAACAAATGAAACAATGCACAATAAGAAAACATGCAATGGAATTAAAATATAGAAGAAACAAATGTGCATTTTCCAAAAGCTGATTGCTGCGTTATTAGTCCTATATTTCTATATTTTGATATGTTACCTACCACATTAATTCTGTTTCCCTTCATATAAATAAAGACATTTCCACCATAAACTGGTGCAGAACATGTCTCCAGAATGCAGGAAATTAAGTGTTTAATGCTCAAAGTCTTCTGGGGGAGGACGCCCAGACCCCTCCACTGATATATTTCAGATGAAATATTTATTCAAAATACTGTAAAAATATCTTCTCATCTTGTTCTCGTGACCGTCACACTCCTAATCTGAGACCCTTATGTCTTCACCACTTTGCAAAACAAAGTGATGCAATCAGCAAATTTTAGAAATGTGGGACTTGTTGTTCTGCATGAATGGTCATGATTATGTAGCGCATTTTTCTTGCACAATAATTGTATTATTTAATTATCCAAATAAAGTTTGATCTGTAAATATATTAATATTATAGGCTACTAAGATTTTACTTTGTATTTAATATTATAATATTTACTAGTTTCACCTTGAGGTTGAGGATAGTGCGCTGGGAGTACTGGAACTTATTTTTTTCCACTTCAAGTACTGTGTACAGTTTTTCCGATCTGTTTGACTGTTGATGTTCTGTGTCTCTTCACTGTGATTTATTCTGTCTCTGAATGTGTAGCGTTGATGGTGACGCCATTAAGTACATAATGAGCCTACATGGCAAGGTCATTTGATAATTTGGTACCGTTTGATTTGATTTACTTGATCCCTTGAATCCCCTTTGTAGTCAAGTGCTTTGACCACAATGTATGCTTTTGTTCACAACTGGTACGTTGGACATCATATGGACCCAAATAAAATAATAATTGGAAGGGAGTTGATTAAATTCAACTCTACCCTCATACCAAACTCCTAAAATTGTCCTTCCTTCGAATCCTTCGAAAGAGAGAAACTTGAAAGGAAACTTCAAGAAAAATATGAAAAAGAGATGAAAAAAATTAAAGAGCAACTCCATGCTGACAGAGAGAGGGAGAAGAAAGAGAGAGAGGAGGAGAGAAAGAGGGAGAAGGAGGAGATGAATGAGGAAAGAAAGAGGGAGAGGGAAGAGCTAGAAAGACAGAGACAGAGAGATCGTGATGACAGAGAGAGGGAGATGAAAAAACTAACCGAACAGCATGAGAAAAAAATTGAGAGAGGAAAAACGAAAGTTGCAGTCCAGATGTGAAAAGGAGGCCAGGGAGGAAGCTGAGGAGTTTAATCCATTATATCCTCTGGTTCTAGCTGGTGAAGCTATAGTTGGAGGAATCAAACAGCTCGGAAAGGATCTTGTAAGATTGTTCAAGTGAGTGGTCCTAAACTCATGCTGTTTAACTACAGAGGAACCCTCCAGATGCTCACACACAAGAACAAAAAAAAGCTATTATTATTTCATCCACAGAAATATATTCACAATTTCTTTTTCCCCATTATCTGAGTGAATGATGAAGCTAATTTTATTTGTTGAACGTCAAGTCACTCATCATGACACAGTCTCAAATTATCATCTAGCGTTCTTTTTACATGAGTATTTGAATATGGCCTAAGGAGATATTTAATGTGTATATTAACATTTGACAGTGTAATGTGTTTGCATGTCAACATTTTAAGATGACATCCTAACTAAACCTATGTATTACATTAAATTACCTATTGTTTCAAGTTTCAAGTTTTCTTTTTTATTGTGTTTTAAATCACTGCACTTTGGTTTCCTGCAGACTAATAGGACATTATTTGATTTTGTTTCCTTTCTGCTGGCAGTTTGTCATACACTGTGTTTATGTGCTTAACTGAACTAGAAATAAAGATGTGATTTTAAGACCAAACCTTTGTCAAAGTAATAATTTACTGTCAAATCAAGAGTTCAAAGGCCACAGGTTGCTTTTTCAGGAACTTGGTGTTTTACACTGAACTAATGACAAAATGTTTGTTCCATGCACGGGACTGGGGTTTGTTATAAAAAAGGACACCTCACCTCCCCTTTAACTGTTGCTGCTCTTCATCCTGAGATTGACACACTACTTTATATGTAGGATTGTACAGTTTTTCTTTATGTGCACGCACACACATATCACGTGTTTGTTTAAATTTGAACTGAAATACTACATGAAATGCTACAGCATATCTGACTGTAAATCACAGACACTGTTGTCCTGTGATTTAAAAAAATCCCAAATACCCATTTTCTTCCTTTTATTTGTTTAAAACTATTGACAATATATTTAAACATTTAACATTATTTTTGACTGCATAAAGGAATGACAAAATATAATTCAGTTGGAATTAAAACCTGCAGTAACTGATTTTTTTTAATCACTTTGGCAGCAGAAACATGTTGTGGACGCAAAACTGATGTTATGGTCACCTATCACTTAATACTGAAAACTTGATATCAAGTAGCTGCTTATTTACACATGATTATTCATTTGGAGTTGTGTTTCTGGCACCTGACAAATAGTATTCACTCTTTTTTAGCTGTTTTTGGTTTCTAACAATCTCCTGAAGGAAATATCTGGAGCTATCTTAGCTGCTAAATGTTCACAAAGTGTGTCTGTCAGCTTTTTGGTGCTTAGCTGGTAGTGTACAATGAGTTTTTAGAGCTTTCTCACTGAACATGCTGCCTGCTTCAGTACTGTGAGAGTGAATGAAAACAGTAAAGCTGGAGGCCGGACAGCTAAACAATGATCTGAAACTCACTATAAAACACTTTAAAGGAGACATATTATACTGCTTTTCCAATCCTATATTGTAGTTCTGTGACACCTGTATGTATTGCAGCTTTGCATGATTCAAAGTTCAAAAAAATAAATATTTCATAAATAA